ATATCTTACATGCAAGCAACTGTAAAACTTTAAACATAAAATTTTCAAATGCAGAAATTCAATTATCAAAACATAATGGGATTAGGATTAATAAAATAATCATGGAAATATTAACCATCTTAGAAACTGTAGGCGCTATCCTAGTAATTACTCAATTAAAAATGTTATTATTGTTTAAGACATTAAAATTAACCATCTGAGAAATAATGAAAAACATCAGAAAGACCAGCAAAATTAATTCCTTGGCAAATAGAAATACTATAATAACAAAACAAGATAGCTGTGTATAGAGGGATTGGAGGAACAATATTGGTTGTTCATCTGAGTTTCCCGTAGCTATGGAAACTTCTCTTCATCCACAAGGAAGAAAAGTTTTCTGTATTTCTCTCTTTTATTCCACCTCTCTGTCCTCTGTGCCTCCATAATAAACCTTCTATTTTATACCATGTTTCACTGCATTAAGGTTAAAAGATGCCTCCCTCTTTTATGACTTCTGAAAACTTGTAGCAATTCAGCGTGGTGTTAGTGACCTGATTTTTCCTAATTTTCAAAAAAAAGTTTAGTTTCATTCAAATTTTGAGATCTTGAAAAGTGAGAAGGATGAGGACAGTTCAAAGCCTGGGAATGTCCTGGGACGCATCGGGATCCTCTCTCCACAGGTACATAGTGAAAAGCCCTGGAGAAAAGGGCTGCTTGGGGGGGCAGGTAGCTTGTGAATTGCTCAGAGGAGTTTCCTAAATCTTCCATCAAAACAAGTGACAGATGTTTATATTTTTGCTCCAACATTTCTGCAATAAAGGGCTCCTAGCTGGACTTTTCTAAAGAACACTTCACCTTTCCATAAATCCACATCTAGATAGGAAATAGGATTTGCTTTAAATCTTCAACCAACCCTCCTAAATTTTGTGAGCTTCTGATTTCTCTCTATTTATTGTGTTTTTCTCTTCAAACTTTCAGTTAAATTATGCTGTGAGGCGAATTATTTTACTATATAGAAAAGAAAATATTAAGTGGTATTGAATTTTGTAGACCTTCTTCATTAAATCATTGTCGAATTACTGACCCATCCACAAGAATTTTTTCCTCATTTTGTAATTGGATGAAAGATGCAGGCCCTTTAATGAATCAATTTCCTAGTCTCATTGTACTTTTCAATTTTAAATGTTTCATTATCTACGGTTTGGCACTCCAGATAGCCTGTTTTTAGAGATTTGTTCCTCTAAAAAAATAATTCATTTTCATATTATGAAAATTAAAAAATTGATGAGGACTTACTCATGCATATAAAACTATCTTAATTATGTAGCTTCCACAAGTGAGGAAACTGAATTATTTCTTGTCTTTGATGTTTATACACACGCGCGCTCACACTCACATATAAATGCAGGCAAATCCTTCTTCGGTTCTTAATTACCTCTCAGATCTTCATTGTGATAGTGTATGAAATCACTTCGGCAGTGTTCTCTGTGATAGTATATGAACAAATTATTTTAATGTTATAAAAAGTGTTAATCCCTTGGCCTGAGACTTTCTATCTCATTTGAAATGGTTAGATGTTTTTTTCTGACTTTCTCTCCCATCAGGACTTGCAATTCCCTGTTGGCAGGGTTAGCTGTGGCTGGCAGAACCTAGGAAAGCAATGCACTGTAGTTTTGTTTCACTGCACCTCTTCACTAAACCTTTTTATGTTTGTTTTTATTTGTTCTACTTACTGGTTTTAAGTAAAGGGAACCTCCCAGTAATACTGTATTTCTTCTGGGCAAAGGACCTAATAAAATCATTTTTTTGTTAGCCCATATTTTTCTAGAATAAAGGTGCATATTCTCAGTCCCTTTTCATTGAATCTGTCACATTTCCTTTGCTTACAGAGTAGTTCACAATCAAATGATTGGAAATATCTTTTAATCCCTCAGGCTTTTGGAATTGAGTTAAATTATAAAGTTTGCAGGCATAATAACATCAACAGTTTTTTTTTGGAAACATTCAAATTCCTTTTAAAATCTAGGTTAAGTGCCCACCTGTAAAAGATATGATCTCATTCTGAGGCTTGTGAATAGATGATTCCTTCAGTGAGATAGCAGCTCATTAGATTGTGGAGTGAGACGGGAACTTGGGTAACTAGTGTTGATAGCTGCATAGCTATTTTCAGAATATACAATCAACTTCATGCTTCACACTGCAATCTAATATAAGTCCCAAATATATAACATGCACTAGCAGGAAACACGTAAATTCTTTTATGACTATAAGGTAGGAATGCCTTTTTAGCTGGAACTTGAAAACTAGAAGTCATTAAAAAAAATTGGTAAACTTAACTACATAGAATACCATAGAAATAGTGAAAAACAAGTGAAATAATGAGACTATCCATTAGAGTCAAAAATAAGCCATATGGCAATGAAAGTATCTTTAAAATAGGAGAAATATACTTATTCGTATTTGTATTCAAATTCATTTTCATGATTAGGCAAGATTCTGGAAGGAAAAGAAAGTAATGAATGCAACTATAACATGTTAATTTGGGGAGAGGGAGAAGCTGAGATGACATGAATGCATTACACCTCAATATCTTTCCCTAATTGTAGTTGTGAATTCCACAATGGTTTACATTTTCAATAAAATCAAAGGAAAAATAGTAAATGAAACAAAGAAATGGAAACAAATTTAATACAATGAAAAAGAGGAAAAATGCATCTTTAGGACATGTTACTTTAATGGTATATTTTTAGTGGAATATATTCCAGGGACAAAAAACACTGCCCCCCCCCCAAAAAAAAAGCCCTTAAATTTCTTAGTGTTCTTGCTTTGTGAAAAATTTAGGTATACTGGAATATTATATGAAATTAGTAATTGCTCAAATTATGTTAGAAATGATTATTTTTATAGCCCCAAAGTCCTAGCTAGCACAAGAGCAGGAGGCATCAAGCAAAATTTACACTCCAGAAAGTGATTTCTAAAAGCCTTTTCCCACTAAAGTCAATAATGGTTCTTAGCAGAACAGCCCTAATCTGTAGATGGATCTTATCAAAAGTGTGTAAGGTCCATGAGGAAAGGTGCCCACTGCTCAGCCAGGAACTTCAGCATTAGCAGTGACAAGCCCCAATCACACTAACAACCAAAAAGACACCCATATGTTGCCAAGGGAAGCGGTTATTCCAACAACATCTTCTCTAAAATGTTGTAACTATATTTAATTCTATCTTTCAAAGGGAACTCAAAATGCAGACTGTCTATATTCCCAGTTACTTCAGAAAAGTTCTACTTTACAGAGATGCACCAGTTTATTACTATAAAACACCCTGATTGAGTCAGACAATAATGACCAACAGATACTAAAATTATTTGGTGAACATAGATGTGGACATGAATCTCCACAAAGCGCTAAGGCATTTGTTTGTACGATAATTTAAGGTGGCGATTTGTAAACTAATTTAGGAGAGAATAGAACTTTGCAATGAAGTAATGTCTCCAGTTGAACAAGTGATTGGCAGCATTGTTAATGGAGGTTTGCCTGGACAATGTGTACAGTCTACCACCCTGCTGTGTTTGAATAAATACACAAGTCACCAATTGTATATTCTTGCTAAAATGCTTAGTCTGAATATAGCTCATCATTTAAATTTAATTGTCAGTTTATATAGACATTATAAGAATTTACAACATGTGTAGTACTCCCCCACCAGGAGAGATATCCAGAAGACTTGGCATTTTTTAAATAGGAAAATTAACCTAATATCTTCCAAAATCTCAATATATTAAGAAATGGTGGTGAAGAACTGCCGTCAATTTAGAGAACAAAATATATGAAAAACAATTTAAAGTGTGGAATTTATGTAGATACTAGTTTGATCTGGCCAGGGTCTAATAAGCCTTCATTAAATTAAAACCTTTTTTTTTTTTTTTTTGAGAAACTTTGTGGAGGAATCTGAGATACAAGGCTTAGTTTAATTTTTCATTGTCAAAATGATGTATTGGTTCAAGAGTTCAGAGATTTTGTCTGAAAATGACATTGACATCTTCCTCTAGTTCCAGGGGTTTCCCAATTCCTTCAGGGCATAGAAATTGATAACTAAACCATTATAATACAAATTTACACCTGATCCTTACTGGTTGTCATGGCTGTGTCCTGCGATGGAATGGCAGTGTCGTGAATACTGAGACACTAGTTTCCTGCAAGCCTTTGATCACAATGTATTCATAAATCAGTCAGTCCCTGACATAGCTAAATGTGTATTTCTTTTTAACAACTCCTTAATACACATTTTTGATTTATTAACATAGAACTTGCATCACTATAACTCATGCTTGAATGAAACTTCTGTAATAACCATGTTCCCCCATAAGTTACTCCGTGGGTGTCTGGCACTTAGGACAATTGACAACACTTCAGTGTGACACGTAGAGGTATTTTTAGCAGCAAAATCAAAGAACAAAAATATGGAAAAAGTTCCACTAAATAGACAGTAAAAAGGATTCTCGTTGACATTATGAAAGCTCAAGCAAGAAGACTTAGCATTCCCTGTTTCATTCTGTTGTGAACAAGCTTACCGATCAAATGATTAAAATTTGTTGTAGCTCTGTGAATGTCTGAATGACCATGAAAGTTACATCAGTGTGAAATTTGGGGACACAAATAGGCAAATTGCAAATAGGAAACCCACAATATATGAGGATCAACTATAATTTGCTCTTTGATAATATTACTATTATTATGAACACCAGCATTCCCTCTTCACATCCATATCAAATGTAATGTTAATAGCTAGTTATGTGAATACAATTTTCTATAAATGCAAATGGCAGACTTGTGAACAGAATAACAGATGTGATTGTAAGAGCTACGTTGCACCCTGCACTGAGCAATTACAAAATTATTCAAAATGAGTTCATTTTTTGAATCACAAGAAAGTTCAAGATTTCAGTGAATTAGTATCATAGTTACCTTAATCTGAATATATGACAACAATGTTATAAATCCAGATTTGATGGGTAATATCAGAAGTTCAAACATGTCAGAAATTTAAAAGTCCACTGTGATTTCTGCTCTGAACTAGGATATATAAAACTGCAACGTCACTCCCTCTGTAACTGCAAAAAAAAAAAAAAAATTATCTACAAATTCATAACTTTCATCCAATCAGAAATGAGGCTGTGGGCCCATCGCCTGGCCTTGACCCTCAGGGCAGACAGTTCAAGGGAGAGATGAAGCAGAGCACAGAGGAAGGAAAGTAGATTAGAAAAGAAAGTAGATTAGAAAAACGACAAGTTGCTAAAAACCAAATGTGCAAGAAAAATATTTCCATCACTTAGCTTCTTGAAATTATTTCTACTGAGTTAATATTGGTTTACATCATTGTTTCCCTAAGTATAGGGCTCCCCGCCCCCCTCTTTCAGGCACTGTTGCCAGGGTCAGCCCCCCACCAAAGAACCCACAGACCCTGTACCCCTCCCTTTCTTTTCTCCTGTTCATGTCCCTCTTTCTCCCTCCACCCCCACTCCAGTAGCCCCAGTCCGTGTTCAAGGGTTTAGTTTTTCCTATATTAAACATAACAGACTTGAGATGGCTTGCCTTAAAAGAGGCGTGGCTGTGTGGTTTGACTGGGGCTGGTAGCTGGGAGTTGTAGCTTTGGGGGACACCCCCACTTTTTCATAACAAGAAGGGCTCCTGTGTCTAAATTGTGTGAAAATGGTTTCTGTGAAATGTCATGGAATATTATACATATATATGTTTAATTAGAATATTCTTCAAATTGCATTTCCTGAGAGTCTGGAATTTTGGTAAAGCATGTCGGAAGTGCCTATGTGACCCCATAAATTCTTGGGCAGGCAGTCCACCTTCAGTTTCTCCTACATATAGCATGTCTTATGAGGTGTTACAAATTGTAGCTAGAGGAATTAAGCATATTTTGAAAATATTTATATATTCATTTGGGAAGGACTTCCTAAGCAAGGCACACAAATGTATTAATCAAATAGAAAACACTTGTAATATTAAAATTAAGAATATCTAGAAGTCAAAAGACTGAATAACTGAAAAGTAAGACACACGATTGAATAACTGAAAAGTAAGACACACGATTGATGTGAAATTGACAAATTGCTAGAAAAAATTGATAGTGGGGCATATAAAATGTCCTTAAAACACACAAACATACTGTCGATGTGAAAATGGATGAATCATGAATAAAAAATAGATGTGCAAAGAATACTAGCCTCAGTAGTTACCACATAAATTCAAATTTAAAAACCAAGAGATGCTGCTTCTCCCTGCCAAACGGGTAAATCATACAAGGGTTGTGGATCATGTGGAACAATTGTGTTCTTTGCAATTTTATGTAGCACCATCTAGTAAGCTTAAATATGTAAATACCTTCTCTGCAGCAGCTCCATTCTATGCAACCTGCAATAACTCATGTGCATATATATTATCCCAGATGTGTGTGGTAGTATTAGCTTGTAATAGCAAGAATTTAGGTGTGATATCAGTGATCATAAATAGTGGTGCAGGCATCCCACGGAATATTATGCACATATATATATTTGATTAGAATAATCTTCAAATGACTTTTCCTGAACATAATTAAAGTAAATGGATATCCATTACGGAATTTTTTGAAAGTCTATAACATTATTTAAAAACCATCTGTAAGCTCACCACTTGAAAATATGGTTATTTCTTCCAGTCTAATTTCTATTTGTTTGGATACAGACGAGGCAGCCAGCACTTGCTCTTCCACTTACAGGCACTTTTACCTGGGGTTATTTAAGGTGCGTTACCTAATCTGTTTGTTTTTTTAAAGGAGGATAAGATTATGTCATAGTTTTTTGGTGATAATGACATAAATTAGGTAGTATTTGGCTTCCTCTACATTCTGCCTTTCCCTGATCCCCTCTCTCCTTCCCTGTTTCTCTTACACACACACACACAGACAGACACAGACAGTCTTTCTCCCTGGGAGGTTCTCCTTTGGACATCATTTGGACTCCTGCTGAGAGCTGCACCCCCTCTAGGGAAGGGTCAGGAAATCTTGGAGTCTCTTCAAGAAAAATAAGACTGTTTTACTGACTATAAAATTCTAATATGTGCAACTGTGTGGTATGTTTCTTCCCAAACAGTCACATATATAAAAAGTCAGGACTAAAGTTTTGAAGATTCTCTTTTTACTTACTGAGTTTTGTGTTAATCCCTTCTCCTATTTGTCAAACTAACAAGCAGCCAGATTGCACATAGGCAAATTGAAAATATGAAATCCACAAAGTATGAGGATCAACAAGCTACTGCTCTATATATTATATGACTATTAATATTACGAACACCAGCACTGCCTCTTGAACACAACTATCAATGACTGTTTCAAGGACTTGAAATGCCAGGCTCAGGTGGGTGTGCCATAACCTACTCTGACCTTCAGGATGCTGCCTCCTGTGTAGCACAGGACTTAAGAAAATAGCTTGAAAGAGTTGGCCACAAGTATTGTCTCTAATCAGAGCTGATAAATGCACCCACGCTAATACAGAAGACTTCATCCTTTCCATCCCAGCTATATTCAACACCAATTAACTCTCAATGAAATGAACCTGCAAGTCATTGGCAGAGATTCTTCTAGTCTTACTTTTTTTAATCTCTGCTTCCCTACTAGCTCTAACTTCAATTTATCAACTGGAAATGATAATCAGAGGTTGACCACATGACACACTTTCATTTTTTTCTGTAGTACTGGAAAATATTGTAATGTTACAACCTTGGTTAGTATGTAATCTGCCTTCTAAGATATGGGAGGCAACACATTGAACAGCTATTTTGCCATCACATAAAAAGAATCACTGTCTAACTTGCAATATCTGACCGTTTAGTATTTGCCTTTTCATCTTCTATATTGTCAATTTCAAGGTTGGTGATGTGTTAATTGCACTGGTCACTTTCAGGGACCAAACTCTGTATCAGTTATGACTAAATGTATCCCTCTATAACATCCAAACCAATAATAACATAGAAACTTACTGAAAGTAGTTTTTCTTGCTTCTTTGAAAGGGTTCCAGATATAGGCAGTCCAGGATCGGTGTGGTTTTTATGGAGTGCTTAGCATTGTCAGGAAGCCAGTCTCTATCTGAAGACTTGTACCCTGGATCACAGAACAAACTCAGGGCTGAATCATCTTCCTAAGAAGCCGTTGTAGCTCTGGTCATCAAATCCATCTTCTTAAAAGCATGAAATAGGGAGAGGGAGGCATAAAATAAAGAGCCAGTGGAGTTGGTCTTCTCTAAGGAGATTTCTGGAAAACAGAATCCAACAGTTTGTATTTGGAAATATAACTTCATAATCAGGACATCTCCACATCTTTAGTTTCCTAACGGAAAAAAAAATGCAATGGAGACTATATGGTGGGCAGGTAACTAGATTCCTCTGCAGTCTAATCCATAATTTTTGCTTTTATGTGGCTGATATGTTCCACTTTGCAGGCTCCCAAAATGTAGTTATTATGAATGAGGATGGGTTGATATTGATTTTTGCCATCATCAAACTTTTGGGGAATTCTGTTAAAGCACATGTTTGTAAATTCAATAAAACAGCAAATGTTTCAATATATTAATTTCCTGATAAGCAGACTTTAGTATTCCACAACATGTAGACCACTTTCCATTTTTCCTTTTATGACAAGTAGCAAACGCAGATATGGCTTTAAATGAAAATGCCCTGCAGTAAATTTTAGATTAGATTTTGTTTTTATATCGATGCTACTGTTATTTTTAATGGAATTTTCTGAGACAATGAAACAACTCACAAGATTAAACTTTTTAATGAAACCAATTTTATACATTAAAAATTAACATATTTTGAAAGATAACACTGCCTGTCACTGGTAGGGATAACACTCATTCAGTGTTCATTGTTTGCACTACACCGAGTTTTATCTTGCTGTACAACTGGGGAAAGATACCACCTGGCATATATACAAATCTGAAGCAAATACAAAGCAGTAATTTAAAAGTGAAAAAGTAGGTCCATTTATTTGTTCAGTTTCACTAATTGTGGTCAACTACACATAGATTATATTTCCCTTTTTGTGTCCTAACTTTAGAAGACAATATTACTTTCCAAGTCTTCAAATTTGAAACAGAGGAATAGTTGCCAAAATAACTTATAATAACGAAACTCACAACTGGTCAACTCTTGGATAAGATCATTTGGGATTCAGTTTTGGGCAATGATTATCACTTATCCATCTTATATTAGAACTCATTTATTCACCTACTTGGAAATAGTGTATAAATGCATAGAACAAGAAATACTTTCGTAACTAGCAGTAGTGCACCAATGATCACAGCATCATTCACAACAGCCAAAAGTGGCAGCAACCCAAGAGGGCTTCAGCAGATGGGTGGATGAGCAAAATGATGGGGGTATATGCAATGGAACCTTATTCAGCTTTGAAGGGAAAGGAAATTTTCACAAATGCTACCTGGGTCAAGCTTGAATGGTCTGAATAAAAGATTGAATGACAGGTTGAATGAAAGAAGGCAGTCTCAAAAAGACAGGAGCCCTATTATTCCACCTTTGAGTAATCAAATTCACAGAGACAAAATGTAACTGCAACCAAAAAGTTAATCTGGAGCAGAACCTGCACCACAAACATGATAGTGTTTCCTCTGACTCAGTTAAGAAACACAATTTCACATTTTTTCTTACATGGCAGACACACTAAAATATGTCTGGCCAAGTTTCTGATTTAACATAGTGTATAATTGAGTAACTGTGTGTTCGTGACATTTTGTAGCTTGTATCTGTATTTAAAAATTAATATGGGTTTATGCTTTCACACTAGGAAACATGATAATTGTAGGCTTATTTTCTTTCCTTATTCATCATCATTACCTCCTTTGCTGTTCTATCCATGGAGATTTTTGCAATGTTATGATTAGTTCATCTCACAGAATATTATTAGGATACTGTCCAAATATTATAGTCAACAAACATGCCATTGGAGATAGGGAGATGATAAAACACTTTCCCTTAAATTAATATTCTATGTTTTCATAGAATTTAAGGGAATGAGACACTTGCCAAATATGTTCAAGTGTATTTTATTACTTGACTAAAATATCACAAAATGGAACATGAATACAATACAAGAGGGAACATTTAAAAAAAACCTTAATATATGAATACTTAACCATGTTTCAAATAAAGAAAATAAAATCTATAATTTTCCTGTACATGAAATTAACTAATTAACAGATGAGTGTGTGAAATATCACTAGAAACAAATATTTACTAATGTAACTTTATAATATCAAAAACAGATTTTTAAAGAATATTTCATTGATGATTCAGGTAACAGTTATAAATTTTTTTCCTAGCAAAATGATTTAAAAGCTTATGAATATGAATGGACTATTTATATAGAATAATAGCATTAGTATGGGAATATATATAGGAATTTAGATCATCTGAAATTTACTGCAAAATTTGCCTTCTTAACTTACATTTTTCTATATCTATTTTTATCTTAAAAGAATCCTTCAGCATGAAAAAATTACAGCAGGTTGAATTACAAAATTTAAGAAGTATAAATTGCCTATTATACATACATTTCAATGATGTTCAAAGGAACATGATTATTCCATTTGCAATTCAGTTTTAAAGTCTGAATACAACATATACATTTTATGTCACAATTTTTCTTTAAAAATTAAGTTCAGAGTCTTAAAAAATATACCCAAGGACAGAAGCAAGCTGAAGTACTGGAAGACTATAAACAGTGCATTTTTCTCTCTAAACTTCTGTTTTCATAACAATGCTACATGTTACATCTATAAACACTGTATATTTACATTGTGTGTTGCATTGGGCAGGAGAGATATGTGTTCCATGAATGGGGAACATTTTGATTTTATTTGGTTTGACTGGTTACTTATGTCATAAGGTTATGTTTCCAACCCTAGGAGTTGCCGATTGAGTGGGGGCAAAAGTGTCAAGACTGGACTATGCTGGTGGCAGTTGTAATAAAATGAAAAGAATGTAGATATGAAATTTTGAGGGAAATTATTTTCCTTGTCTAATTGCTCTGATTAGGACTTCCTGTCCATATTGAATGGAAACGGTGAGAGTAGGCATTCTTGCCTTACTGCAGATTTTAGATGAAATGATTTCAGTCTAACTTAGCATCTTCATTGTATTGAAATAAGTTCTTATCTAGTTTGTTGAGAATTTTTGTCATGAAAGGAAGTTAAACTTTAAATGCTTTGTCTGCATCTATTCATATGATAATGTGATATTTATGATTCATTTTAATGTCTATCACCTATATTGATTTGTGCATGTTGAGCCATCCTTGCATGCCAAGGAAAAATTCCACTTGCTTCATGACCTTCTCATGGACTCTTGAGCTTAGTTTGCTCATGTCTTGGCGAGGATTTCTTGTTCCATGTGCTTAGGATCCTCACCTATAGCTTTCCTTCTGTGTGGTGACTCCCAGCCTGATGTTGAACTCATGAAAAGAGTTTGGAGGTACGCTTTCCTCTTTTATTCTTTTTTTTCTTTTTAAGAAGGATTACTAATTAATTCTTCTTTGAATGCTGGGTAGAATTGACCTGCCAGGCCACCTCCCCCCGCCCCACTGAGATTTCATTTTGGCGATTATTGATTAAATTGCCTTAGTTTTTACTGGTCTGTTCAGGTTTTCTATTTCTCCTTGATTCTGTCTCAGCAGTTTGTATGTTCTACAAATTTATTCATTTCTTCTAGGTTGTAACATTTTTTGGTGTATAATTGTTTATATACTCATTTGTGATCTTTTTATTATTTCTGAGGCTTAATTGTAATGCCTCTGCTTTCATTTTATATTTTTATTTGAGGTCTTTTTTTTTTTTCTCTTTTATTAGTTCCTTCCTTTTGCTAACATTTGGCTTAGTTTGCTTTTTATCTAACTCCTTGAAGTGTAAAATTAGGTTAAATTTATTTTAGTGTAGGTGGTTGTCAGGATAAATTTATCTCAGTACTGCTTTTACAATATCCCATAGGTTTTGGTGTATCATATTTTCATTTTGTTTGCTCAAGTTATTTTCTGATCTTTGTCTTATTTTCTCTTCCACTCAGTGATTTTTTAGCAGTGTGTTTTAAAATTTTCAGGTATTTGTGAGTTTTCCCATTGTACTTTTGTTACTGGTTTCTAGAGAATTTCACAACACATTGGTCAATTTACTACAAGGATAAGGGGTGGGGAGCGTGGTATGTTCAACTGAAGCACTAGAATAATAATGCCACTAAGAGAAGCAGAGAAGCCAGTTTGGTTTATCAAGGCAGTAAGAGCTTTGGGGAAGGAAGATTTACAATCAACGTTTAGAATGAATTCAGTTTGGAGGATAGATGTAATATTCAGATGAAACTAAGGTGTAATACAGGTATAATTGCATCCTGAGAAAAAAATGCTTTGAAAATTACATTTTATATACAGATTCTTTTTTATTGTAAGGGAAGTCTATAAATTTGGGTTAATTATAGAAAATATTGTAAAATTGTTTTCTCACTGTTTGCATCATTGAAATATACAATGTGTGTTCTAGATTCTAAGTTGGAGTAGTGTCTACCCCTGAGTTTTGCTGTTATTGTCAAGGCTACTCTGATTCAAGAACTCTCTACAAAAGGAGCTGGCCATCGCTCTTTTCATAGGATTATTGCACCTGCACTCCCAGCTTTGCCATCATGGAGTAGTTAATGACAGGAGAACAGCTTGCAATATGGACCAATTTTAGGAATTTTTGACAAAATTTAGGGGGGAGGAGTCATTTCTACAACCCAGATTTTATTAATCAAGTCGAGCATCTGATGTTTACCACATTTGATTTAGATAGTATAGGAAATATTCATTATCTGTAACTTTCAAAAAAGAAATCGTGTGTATGCAGCCTCAGCTTTCTCTTGTAACTTTAGTTTATACAGTAGCAGATGTTCTTAATGTTACAAAGTGAAGAAAATATTAGATAGTGTCTCCTTTTTTAGCCTGGGGCTGAGGCTGCAAATAAGAGGAAGAAAATATTATCCAGGAGACAAATGGAACTGTACTATAGTTCTTTAATTCCAAGGAAATGAATAATTATGCATAATAAATTCAGGGGAAATATTAACATAAGAATTTGTTTCAAAAACCTGGTTTTAGTTCACCAGGTAACTTGGTTTACCTCCAGGGTATATTTTATTATTTAAATTATAGAAAATGTGATGAGCAAAATGTTTAATAGAAACTGAAATTTATTTTAAATGAGATTAGACTATGCCATTGTTCCTAAACAATGGTAAATGAATTTATCATTTCAATACCCATTCTTTAAAAAATCACTTTGTATCTTTTGAGATTAATCAGCTTCTCAAAATTTCCTATCTACATATAAAGTAGTAAGCAAAGGACTATCCTTCATGATAGCTGGAGGAGTCTTTCCAACACTTAAAGCAGCTTTGCAAGGACATGTTCACAGGTACCTCAGGGGTATTAATGAACCAATTTTTAAAAAAAATTTAGTCATGTTTTTTAAGAGGTTATAAGGAATTATTCAGAAATCACTGCATTTATTATATATATACTAATGTACATTTTTTAAATAAAATTTAAAAATTCAGACAAAACCTGACTTACAGTTAGTATAATAATATTCACAGGGAGTCTCTGCTTTAGGATAATTCCATTTCTAAATGAGCTTCTGATTTGCTAATAGAACATTTTAAAAATGGCAGATGGAATTTAGGGATAGCAAACAAGAAAAATAAATGTGGTTATCTTTTGAAAAGGAATGGTATCCAGATAATTGCTAAGTAGAAAGGTATTTTCCTCTAATTTACTCTATAGAAAATGATTCATTAAAATTACTAGGCTTAGATTAAAAATGAATTATTATATAAATTTAATATAACAGAAATAATCATGATTCATATTTGTATAATTAATGTAGTATAATAATGAATCATAATACTTCACTTGAATATATACAGGAAAATATGCAACTAAATACAATGTCTTCCATCCTTGTCAATTTTTCTTATTTTACTAGTTCGATATTACTACTTGGGCCTTAAAGTTTGCTTTATGCTAAATAAAATTGTCAATGGAATTTTAAGCAGTTTTGGTGACCACACTTAGACTCTGCGTGTAAGTGAAAGAAGATTTGATTATAATTAGGGCACATACTACCCAAAGATGAAAAAGCAAATCAAGGGCCTCCTAGTGGTGCCAGGGCTTAAGTCTCAGTACTCTGAAGCTCTCAGCAGCCACTGCAGTATGAGTTCTATCCCTGGCCAGGGAGCTACCCACAAGGTGCAGCAGACCCTCTCCTGTCTCCCCGCTGCTCCACTCAGTAGTGTATTTCAGTCATTCCTCCTACTCTGTTCACCATTTTGATTCTGGTGAATCCTCTCACCCTCTGCACCTCTGGACTACACCCCAGCTCTTGTATGCTTAAACAAGTCTTAAAAAAAAAAAAAAAGCAAAAACAAGCATGTGGTAAATGTGGTATTGGCAAGAGGTAATGAAAGGGGACTGAAACCTCCCATTAACTGTTTCACAATCTTTTTTTATGATTTCACAACCTCAAAGATACGACAGCTCTTTTTTTCCTATATTATAAATGGAGATTACATCTTCATATCAAGAAGGGAGGAACTCTTCTCAATCTGTTTCCATTCTGAAAAAGCCAAATGAATGTCACACTAAAAATGGTACCTATTAAAAATTCCTGGGATATGGTATAATCAGTTTTAGATTTAAACATACTTTAGTTTCATGTCAGTTGTAAAGAAGTTACTAGCTTTGAAATGGCATTAAAAAGAAATAAATGACACAAAAAATGATATATATTTAGTCAAGTATTATTAAGGTTCCTTCACTTTTATAATGAACATTCACTAAAGGACAATATTCCCTTGCCTATTTCTAAACTCATCAAAAAATAAAATAAAATCCATGTAGGCCTCCCCTGGTGGTGCAGCGGTTGAGTGCTGGGCTGCGAGTGTCCCACAAAAAAAATAAATAAACAAAAATAAAATCCATGTGTAACCCCTAGGATATCTTTTCAGATAGAGGTTTACTCAGCTATCATGGCTGGACTACAATATTACATAACTCAAATGTAACATAAGAAATGATTTTCTCAAAGTCATTATTTTGAGTCCTCATTATTGTCATGTAGTGTCGGTGAAAGTATATTTTGAAACAAAGCATGCCTTGTTACTTATGTTTGCATATTGTCAGTCTTAACAGAAATTGATATAAAGCAAAAAAGCTTTAAAAACCTACTTCCAGTAAGGCTATACTTACAGGGGCTAGATTTACACTACTGACTGAAACAACCAATTTGTATACCTAATTAATGACTCAGTGGTTTGAAAGGTATTAGCTATGGCAATGAAAAATGGCAGTCCATAGACAACGTCAATAACAAGGTGAATACTAACCCAAATGTAGTGCTTTGAATGAATCTTTAGGTTGTCACAATGAGAAAGGAAGAAAAAAACCATGTGATCCCAGCCAAGCCCATTTATGTCCCTGAGTTGAAGAAATAAAGCTGAGAATACAGGCAGATTCAGTGTTTAGACCTCACAGTATATGCTGCTATAGGGGAGAGGACTGCCATTATAAAATGCTGGAAATTTGTAAAATACAGATTAGTACAGAGATGTTAAAAATAAAAAAAGAACTATTCAAGGCTAGAGCAATAGAAATACGAGGTTTTATTAGGAAGATAAAATGGCTGGAATTCTCAGGGTGGCAGAAATATTGTCAATCTCCAACAATAAGAACAGAAAACCTTAGGATGAAGATGGGCTGGGGAAGACTGTATGAAGGTTCCTGATTAATTCACATTAGCTTGAGCACCTTTCTGGAAGTATCTAATAAGCTCTCAAAATAAAATCCAAGAGATGGAACTATTTCCAACTTTTTTTTTTTTTTAACATTTTAAAAGGCCAGGTTGATTAGGAAAAGGAACGGTACCTGCATAGTCACTGTGGGCAGGAGGTCTACCTGTGTCCAACTAACTTAACTGCATCCCAAACAAAAGTTTAGAGTATGTATAGGGTTTCAAATGTATTCCACAAAGAATACCAAGAAACCAAAGAAAATTTACATTTGCATGCAATGAAAATTAACCATGCAAGACATAATGAAAAAAGACAAATCAATAGATATAAAATCAGAACTGAAATGTTTTAGTATCTATATTTAATATATCCACAAAGGTATGATACAAAAGGAAGAGATAAACAACAAATCAATTAAAACCTTTAGAAATAAAAACAGTATGAGATGAAAATATCTCTGGATATGTTATTAATGACACAGCTCATCATTGCAGATAAAGCATTAAACAATAGAGTGTTGGTACATATTCATATGACCTAGTATGTGTAGGTTGGGTCCACACCAAAGAAAACAAAACACAGAAATGATACTTGAAGAAATAGCGGTCAAAAATTTCTTTAGAAAATGAAAACTAAATAGAACCTTTTCATACTCAGGTGAGTTACAAGAAGTCCTCAGCAAGAGACCCACCCTACAGCAAACATAACTTCAAGTGAAAGGAAAATGAAATTAGATGGAATACTGACTCTAGAAGAAGGAAGAGAAACAGAAATGGTAACTATGTGAGTAAATACATAAATTTGTACTTATATATTAGCAGATAACATTTGAAAACTGATTTTTCCTTGTGAATAATATATCAGTAAAATATAATAATTTATGGAAATGAAATATTTTTAAAGTATAGTACAATAGCACATAGCAAGGGAGAGCATACTTATAAAATTTTTATAATATATAGTACATTATAATAGAACTTGAAGGTAGACTGAGATAAGTTAAATATGTACAATAGCTTATAACATACAGATAAAATAACAAGTCAGACAGTTATAGTTGTTAAAACAAAGCAGATAAAATTAATTTATAGAAAAGATTCTATAAATAAGAAGTGTAACAAGACTAAATGAGACAGATAGAACATAGCTGGATCATAGGTTAAATATTTAAATAGAAAAATTAAAGCAAATCATCTTGAAAAATTCCAACTAGTAGGGAAAGATGGTCAAATTGCTTACAACAATACATTTCAAACAAAGACACAATACCTCAAAAGTGAAAGAATAAAAAAATAAAGCCATAAAGCATAGCACTAACCACAAAAGTGGGAGTCAATCTATTATATCAATAAAGGAGATTTCAGAGCGAAAGACATAGTAAGGAGTACAGGGTCACTTCTTAATTATAAGGGGCTAAATTAATCTAGAGTATATAGTAGTCCTAAATGAGTGTGTACATAAGAGCACTTCAAAACCATGAAATTCTGTTAAACCATAAGGAGGAAATAGACAATTATAGTGAGCAATTTCAATACCCTTGAGTATCAGTCTCAAGAATTGACAGAACAAGTAGATAGTAAGGATGGACCATCTGAACTCTACCAATCAACTTAACCTAAGTGACATTTATAGAACTTTCCACAACAACGACAGAAAATGCATTCTTTGCAAGTGTGCAAAGTCCTGACAATGGTAGAACGTATTCTATGACATAAAACAAATCTCAGTAAACATAAAATGATTAAATTTATAGAGAAATGTATCATCTGACCCTAGTGGAGCTAAATTAGAATCAATAACAGAAATTTCTTTGGAAAAATATCTACATACTATGAATGAATATCATATTTAAAAAACATAGATCAAATTGGAGATCAAAACAGATCTAGAACATTATGACATTATGCATGAAAAGTAACACAGCAAAATGTATGTGATTCTCTAAATATTGCTTTTAGAGACATAAACCACTAAATGCTATATTAGAACAGGAGGAAGATCATACCTATATTACATCTTAAATATATCAGCTAAGTAACCAGCTTAGGCAACTAGGAAAACAAAAGCAAAATAAGTGCAAATTTAATGTCTACCTACACTAATTACAATAGAAAATATTACCACTAACAGGAATGAGTTGCCATAATTATAAGATTGTTTTTCTTTTAATATTGGTATAATTTCTAAACAGTTTTTGGCCAGTAAATTGAATAACAGGAGAAAAAATGGAGCAATTTCCTAAAAGACACTAAGATTAAAATATTTCCCCCACCAAAAAAACCCCCCAAAAACTTACCTCTTAATTTGATCTTATTTAGAATCAGGGTCTTTGAGAGGTAGTATAGTTAAATATGGCCACAAGAGTAGATTTAATCTCATTTTGATTGATGTCCTTAATGTGTTATTTTGGAGTCACAAATCATGATTTCTTTAGTGGGACTTGAGATTCTAAGATCAATGATTCTAGAGATCTCTTTTTGCTTTACAGTCAGGTGCCTGCTTTACAAGGTCTGGTGCATTGTTTCATATCCCAGTTACCTGTTTTTAGATCACCAGGTAATTTTCTTTGCTCTCCATCCTTACTCCAGTCTTTCCACAACTGCAGGGTCTCTGCCCGCCCTGCAGCCCGGCCCACTGATTTACAGACCCAGTATAGTGCACCCACTGGGACTCTCACATTGCTGTGGGGTTCCTGCTCTCTACCACCATCCTGAATATTGAAGCATGTCAGGATCTCTCCTGTCTCCCACATTACACCAACATACCACACCCCCCAGTCTGGGTGTCAGTCATGCTTAAATACATGTCTTTCTCATCACAGAAAACCCACTCCTGCTTCTCAACGCCTCCAAGGTTATGACTTATTGTCAAGTCCCACGAAGGTGTCACATTCTAAAGATTATGGATCAGAAAGGAGGCTCAAGAAATACTCAAATCATGCAAACACTTCATGCCCACTTGTTTACCCCCAGCCACCTGCATATATTACTGGTCCTCACATTCCTGGGGTCTCTGTCCCTACATCCCAATGACAACCTTGTTTTCTCTCATGCAGTCCAACTTCCCCCTGACATCTCGGTACCACCACAGCCTGTGTCTTCTGCATGACGCACAAGATTATGGAATCACTCCGGTATCTCAGCTCACCCACAACAGGTTGCCCCCTGAGAATTTATGTGCTATTTTATTCTAGCAGTTTTTCCTCTTGAGGATCTACCACACAAAAAGTATATAGTCCATTTTATTTTTAGAGAGTGGGAAAAGATGAAATAATGCGAAGAGGGAAGACTGAACATTCAGAGAAGAATGTGCTTACCCTGCCCTATTGCTCTATAGAGAACTGTACTTTGTGCCAGTATTTTCCTTGGTGTTTGGAGTAGGTACTTATATGTAACTGTTTGTCTATAACCATCTAATTCCTTCTAAATTGCAACCTCATTTTTGTGTTGTTCTATGATTGTTGCCCTGCAACATCTTCCAAATGTTCTTTAATACCAGTGCATTTTCCTGTAAAGATAATACTCACATTGCATAACTGATTATAAAGGAAAGGAATTAGGTAAGGGATGGAGCTCAGAGAATCACACTATTCAGAAGCAAAAGGAAATATTGGGAAAAGAAACCCATGTTTGTAACACAGTACTGTGCTGTGAGAATGAGTGATTCCTTCCCCTCAACAGGAATGAAAAGAGGCTGCCACAGTTCCCTCTTCAAAGGTAGTTACCAGGATTGAAGTGGAGTAGCAAAATGCCCCTATGTATAGGAAAGGTATTTTTTATTTCACCTTTGACTTGTGTACGTACCTGCTGTTCTTGAAATGACCTAGATGCAGGAAAACATTACAGGGACACAGGTTTCCCAGTCATCTGTTACTAATCCTGCCTGATAATTTATATCGTAGTGTATTTAGCATAAAATGTGGATGTCAATGTATGGCATGTCCTCCTAAATACTTGTTACAGCCCCAAAGTGTTTGTTTTATAGATGCCTATAGGTCATGCCCAAACCTTTGATGTCCTCAGGTCCATGGAAAGACAAGAGTGATTAAGGTTTGTTTGTTTTTTTTTAACTTCCCATTGATAGGATATTGAAAAACCAGAAATCTGATGTTTGATATTTCCTGACTGTGTTACATGTGCCTAATCTGCAGCACTGACTGACGGGGCTGGGAGAGGGTGCATGCATAGTTTAGGAATCTGCACATCCACATTGTCAGACCTGTGGCCTGTTTGTTTAGCGTAAACTTCCCAGCCCAGACAGCACCTAGAAGAGAAATGGGCCACTTCTGCCAGAGACAGAACCATCCTGGAAGCAGTGAAGTGTCCTCAACCCAGATGCCCGTGGAGGGGAGACAGGGCCATCAAACTCCCAGAGTTGTTAACTACCTGGAGTGAAAGCCCACTCACTGATCATTAACTGCCTTTGTTTAATTCACTCTAAAACAGCTTTAGAGATGAGGTGTTTGAATGGTTTCTTTGGCGTGTGATGCTTGGCGTTCTCAGACAAGCTGGCTAATCGAATAAGGGTGCATAATAAAGATTCAATTCCTGTCCTGTGCCTTTTTTAGCTTCCTGGCCTGTCGCAGGCAAAGCAGCCGGATCTCAGCAACAATCCCATTTAAGACTTGATAACCTAGGCCCTCAGCGGTGTACCCGATCCTGCTGGCAATGCTCTGGGAGTGCAGTGACAGGAGAGGTAACCTGGGCGGGGGTGCAGTTAACTGGCTGCCACTCCCATGCCGAGAACAGACTAAAAGAGTGTGCACCTCTGGGGGCCTAGGTGCTGTCTGCCCTGTCCAGCTCTGGTGCCTTTGTGTGTTCACAGGTTGACTATGGTGGCATCAAGGAAACAGGTCTTAACTGTCCATTAACGGAGGACTCAGCGCAGAGAGAACAAACAGAAACACCTACAGCTCGTCTTCCCCTGAAAGTGAGTTCTGACTGCAAACGCTGCCAATGAAGGTCCACTTTCTAGTCTGAATGTAGGTGCTGACTGAGATCTTGGGGTACAGATAGGCCTGGGCACACTAAACATAAAATAGGATGCTTGGGCCTTTATAAAGGTGTAAAGACCCCAAAGAGCTTCATCTGCACAGGAGCACTCTGGAAGATGGAGGGAGCTGACACTGCATTAACATCCACTCACGCAAACGCTTTCCCTCGCCAGAGAAGGACAGATCTCTTTCTGTCCCCCCAGAGAAGCCCTCCCATTGCCTTTATTTACTCTCTAGGCTTATCAAACTTTGTTTTCCTATATCCCCAGGGAAAGAGCATGGGAAGATAAGAAACATCTGAATCTCTGACCAACAGGTGTGAGTGGAAACCTCCAGACACTTGTGCTACAAGGACAAACGTGCTGCTCACTCTCTGATCCTGTGTAACTCTCGACGAACACCCCACCCTCTGCCACAGAGCAGGACGGGGTCTTTCAGACACAAGTCTGCTGCCTGCCTCAATTTGTCAACAAATTAAACTATTTTCCTTTGCCTCAAACTCTGTTTCCTTTCATCGGGCAGGGGAACCGAGACCAGCATTCGGTATTAAAAGCAGGGGTAGAGGAGAAATTCCTTAGCCTTATAAAGCCTATCACCTGTGGGCATAGCAGTTGGATGCTTCAGGGCTAGGGTTAGAGCAATCCGTGCTTCCCCTATTTTCTGCCTCACCCCTGATCTAGTTTTCTTACTGATGATTGAAATTGTCAACTAGTTTCCTGTCCTATCACTTCTAAAGGTTAGGAAACACTTCCATTAGTTATGACAGCACTGTATGGTGATAACCACCATTAGCATGCTAGCTAACATCTACTTTTGTAGCATAATAGCAGATACTCACTAAACACTTACTGGGGACATATCTGTCAAGTACTGTGCTAAGCAGTACACATGGATTATCTTATTTCAACCTCAAAATAATTCTAGGTTTACCTTTGGTTCCTAGTTACACCTGAGGTTAAGACACAGGGGTAAGCAGTTTGACCAATGCTGTAAATGTAGAGGCAGCACCAAGACTCAAGTTCACGGGACCAGGCTTGGACTATAGCTGTTCTTCTTTGCAGGTTGAATTTCCCTGGTAAAACCCAGAACCTTTTGTCTTCACTGAGAATTTCTGGTTAAGACCTTAAATCTCGGCATCAAACCAAAGGATTAATTATAGAAGGCTGGAAATGTCAGTCTGCTAGTCTATCAGAGAGTCTATTTCCAAAAGTAAGGCAGTATTGACATGTATTGAAACTGGGTTTTTTGATCAAATCAAGCTCCATCACTTTGATTACCTTTTCCCACATCCTGACACTAGATTTCATATGAATATCATTGTCAGATTTTGTTTTTGTTCCTTTTATTTCACCATAATGGGAAAAACAAATTATGTCTTTAGTTGGGAGTTAGAAATGTTCCTTTCTAGCCAGAAGCTTAAAAACTAATTTTAATTAGTTTATAATAAAATTATCCTAAGCCAAGGAGGAGCTCCTTCTAGTGTTTTAATTTCCTGATTTAATATTTCTCATACCTCTAAAATAAAAAAGACATTAAATTTTCTGAAATCAAAATACTTAAAGCTATGAAATTATTTTCATGGTCTTCTCTATGATGGTATATTCCATATAGAGAAATTAATAGAGATAAATGGATTGTTTACTAAAGAAAAGCACAGAGCCCTAGCCATAGAATACTAGAATTAAATTACTAAACAGATAAAAACATTAAAATGCCAAATTATTCTCTATATGAATGTATGTTTTGTTAAAGAATAATACAGTCCTGTGTTTTATGGCAATTGCATTATTTTTTCTGGAAAAATTTTTTATGGAATAGAAGTATAGAATATAAAATTAAAAATGGTGAAAATAAATAAAAAATATACACCCTGTAGGTGAATTTGAATTTTTTTTTGTTAGGGATTTATTTGCTAATAAAATTAAGTAGGGAACAGATGAAAATTTGACAAAAGATATTCCAGGAGTGGGAGCAGGCATATTTAGGAAAAGCTTTCAAATTAAGTGTTTTTCTTTTAATGACTTGCCTCTAAAAAAAGCAAGGCTTAACTTTTCATCTCTCTTAATTAGTCTCTTTTGTGTCCTCCATAAAATGGTTGGAAACATATCCTTTAGCTTTCCATTTTTATAATTCTCAAATGCCTAATCCAAGCCCATCCCATACATTAGGATATACATTTACATATTTATTGCACTGAAATACGGATGCTACTTCCTTGCTGATTTTGAATAATTGGTCTATAGGAAAACTACATAAACTGTAGCAGATTTGTCGTAAAGTTAAGTATGCTTATTAGCGTTCTTTACCATGACCTACGTGCCTATTTAATAGAAACTGCACAATCTATTTCAACAGTGATTCTTGCAGTGCATGACCTTTCAATCACAAAAACAAACCTGTAAAAACATCTGCTAATGATTGAGATAGAGTAATAGCCTCTGAAGTTATATCCCCAGTTCAAACAAAATTCCACACATAATATGAAATAACACTTTTCAAGACATTGAATATTATGCAGTTAAGGACAGTATTTCCTAAAAGATAA